TATATATATATACATGTATATATATATAAATATATATATATATTTATATATGTATAAATATATTGAAAAATATATATGCATATAAATATTGTTATGTATATATGTTTATATATATATATATATACTATAATATAATAATAGAATATAATACTTTAATGACAATAACATATGATAAAATAATAGAGAAACAATTTAAAAATTTAATAATATAACAATATAATGAAATACAAATAATAATAATATCAATAATATATATATATATATTAATATATACATATATATGAGTGAGCGATCTCCATGACATACCCTTCCCAATGAAGACGTTTTCGCCAAACGTATTGTTCGCACCAATGAAGGCATCAGGCATGACGATCGAGTTCTTCCCCAACATGAAGCTGCAAGATCCGTACAAAGTGAGTCATCACGGCAATCACTACCTAAGCATCAAATACAGTTCATCGCAGACAACACAGCAAATAGCCCAATACCCCGTAAACAGTATGTGCATATGCATGCACACATACTCTTCCTCCACATTCACTCTCGCGCCGATGATGGTGTGCTGGTCGATATACGCCCGCGAGCCCAGAGTGACCTTATACTCGAGCTGAACATCCGGTCGCAGGGTGCAGTTGTGGCCGATGATACTACTCTTGCCCACGTTAACGCGATCATGCAGATACACGTCAGACGCAAGGATGGTTTCAGCGCCGATTTTGATATCCTCACCTGTGTGTGGGGTATGAAGGCAATAGCAAGGTGTGGAAAACGTATGAATCAATGGGTATTGTATGTGCGTGGATATCGGATGTGTGCATAAATCGTACCGTATATATGTTATAGATAGATGAGGGTACTAGATAGATAGGGAAAGCATATGGATACATGCGTGCGATATGTACGTGCACATTGGATGTGTGCGCAAGCCGTAGTGTGTATGTCTGTTGAATATACATATCGGACGTAAGGATGGCATCAGCGCCGCTTTTGATATCCTCGCCCGTGTGTGAAGAATGAGATATTGCACAGATATGAAATATGCATGAACACATGCCGGCTTGTATGTAAATACCCATTGTATTTGTGCGTAAATCGGATGAGTGTACGAATGCTGATTGCTTCCGCCAAGAAACATAGATAGTAATAAAACTACAAATTCGTTTGTCTCTTCCGGACCACTCACTACTTAGATTCACTCTGCAGCTGAGTCCACGCCACACCAACGCAACGCCCTACCATACCCAAAGTAACGCCAATGGCAATGATCACAGATACATCGATATACTAATCTTTGGGGATTTGATGTCTATTACCGGAAGTTACTCCGGCTTTTCAGGCGCCAACTCCACATTGACCAAAAAAAATACATCAAAACACGCATATAAACAGTCTGAGTTTGACCACACCACTGCTCAGTATCACACCACCGCCCACACTCTCAGCCACACCACAGTCACATCATACCCAAAGTTACGCCAATGGCAATACCACTCAGTATCACACCACCACTCACACTCTCAGCCGCACCACACTCACATCATACCCAAAGTAACGCCAATGGCAATACCACTCAGTATCACACCACCACTCACACTCTCAGCCACACCACACTCACATCATACCCAAAGTAATGCCAATGGCAATACCACACAGTATCACACCACCACTCACTCTCTCAGTCACACCACACTCACATCATACCCAAAGTAACGCCTATGGCAATGATTGCTGATGCATCGATATGCGTGTCCCTGGCGATTACGGTTTCTGTTTTTCGGCGCCCGTCGCCTGCAGCGCGTCTGCGGTTATACCTATTTTGACTGGGAGTGAAAGATTGTGTGTTTGTATTTAGGTGTGTGTGTGTGTTTTTTGTATTTAGATATATGTGTGTGTGTTTATATTTAGTTATCTGTGTGTGGTTTAATTTAGTTATGTGTGTGTGTGTTTATATTTAGCTATGTGTGTGTGCGTGTTTATATTTAGGGATGTGTGTGTGGTTTAATTTAGTTATGTGTGTGTGTGTTTATATTTAGCTATGTGTGTGTGTGTGTTTATATTTAGTTTGTGTGTGGGGTTTAATTTAGATATGTGTGTGAGTGTTTATATTTGTGTGTTTTATGTTTAGTTATGTGTGTGTGTGTGGTTATATTTAGCTATATATATGTGTGTATTCGTGTTTACAGTTATTTTGGCTGGGAGTCAAAGATTGAGTTTCTACATATAGTTGTGTGTTTGTATGAGTACATTCGAATTATACCTCTTTTAGCTGAGCGCCGAAGAGTATTTTTCTATATTTTGTTGTGTGTGTGTTTTTGTATTCGAAATATACCCCCTCTGGCTTTGAGTCGAAGACCGTGTTCCTATATCCTATTCATTGGTGTATGCATGTGTAGGTGTGAGTGTATTCGAAATATACGCCCTCTGGCTTTGAGTCGAAGATTGTGCTCCTATATTATTTTCATTGTTGTATGCATGTGTGTGTGTGTGTTTTCGAAATATACCCCCTTTGGCTTTGAGTCGAAGATTGTGTTCTTATAACCTGTTCATTGGTGTATGCATGTGTGTGTATGCGTGCTGCGTCATAGTTGCGATGACGCGCGGGAGAGCACGTCATGGCCGGGAGGTTTCACGACTTATAGGATAAATGATTTGGGGCTAGGGAACAGAATTCCAGGTCCTATTTGTGAGGGTTTAAGGTTTAGGGTATAGGGTTTAGTGTAAAGGGGTTTAGGGAGTTTGCAGGTGTTGTGTATCTACTTTGCCCGGAGGTCCCGGCCCCAAATCGGCATTAAAGACATGTTATGACAAGTATATGGTGATTCCCAGGTACAAATACAATACGAGAGTATGTCCAGTAAATGCAACGATATATTGCAGACTTTAGATGACGAGAATGGACCGCAACAAGTAACGGTAAAGACCCTGCCATGACACAGACACAGACACAGAGACTGCTCATGTGCACGAGTATACACGGACGATGGAATGTATATATATATATATATATATAATAATATCTATATGTGTACGATTTTATCAACAAGCACAGTAGTATAATCAAGCGTAGCACCCGCCCCCTACCTACCTGCCAAATATGATGTTATCCCCTGGGTCGATGTACTCCATAGCTATGCTGACGTAGTTGCCTATTACACAATCGTCGCCTATGGCCACGTTGTTCCCTAGAAGAACTCCGTCGCCAAACTTCACATTCTTGCCTATCGACACATTTTCACCCATTTCTGCCAATGAAAAACAACCAACCAAATAATATATAAATGAATGAAGAAAAGGATCAGATACAATCAGAGACCGTCACCAGGCCAGCTTTGGATTGCCTGTACAAATGCTATTAAATAGCAAAAACGTTCAATCGCGCGCGGGTACAAAAGATGGTGAGTGTGTAGACACGTGTATGTCGGCGGCACACAGGAAGGTCGTATGTACTTTACAAATCATTGATACAAGGACCCCCAACTGAACCAGAATGGTAGGATACTACCTATGCGTATATCAAGGGATACAACCACGGCACGAACAAACGTTCTATTCATAAAACCACTCTACGCCCAAACCATAAGAACAGGACGCACAGAGAGCACTGGAGTTTCAACCGACATATACACCCAGCACACATACATACATTACATACATAAGCGCACACACACCCTGACCAACATACATACCACGCCACATACATACATATGTACATACATACATACATACATACATACATACATACATACATACATACATACATACATACATACGTACGTACGTACGTACTTACATCCATACATACATACATACTTACATACATACATACATACATACATACATAAGTAATTTGATAGAAGCCCTGCACAACACAAAAAAAACAGCCATCGATACTGCCCATACGATGACACACTTGTAAGTTTTAATACACATGGACACATACCCGAACCAACCCCCACACCACCAGACAATCAGCATAAACAGCTATCGATACTGTCCTTACGATGACACACTTGTAAGTTTTAATACACATGCACACGCACCCGAACCAACCTCCACAACACCAGACTATCAGCATAAAACAGCTATCGATACTGTCGTTACGATGACACACTTGTAAGTTTTAATACACATGCACACGCACCCGAACCAACCCCCACAACACCAGCCTATCCGCATTATCAGCTATCGATACTGTCCTTACGATGACA